TAAAGATGGTAGAAAGGCAGATATCACCACACAGCTCTTTTTGGACCGACTTTATAAGTGTTCCAAGCAGGGAACGGAGAAGAACCTCATGAATTGCATGTTCTGCTTGTCCCGGCGCTGCCTGAGACTTCCACCAACCTGGGGGTTCACACCCCCCAACATCAGAGTGTGAGCACACTTGTTGAGCTTTACACACGACCTTAGTCCCTTATTTATAGAATTACCCATAGGATCAGAAGGGGCCTTGAATTTTTCAGCTCGGCTTTCCTGCAGATGATGGAGGAAAAAGTATGCTTTAGTGATATTCACAGAAACCGAGGTTGCAAGGTTTGAGTTCGAAATCATTTTCCATAAAAGCCTTTGACAAAAATCATCATGCCAAGTGCCAGGTTTGTAGCACAAGGCCTGATGAGTTGATGTGGCCTTGAGGCCACATGAGAACCAAGCCCAAGACCTCTCCACGCTCCTGCCCACTCCAGTCCACCTTGCCATTCCTCATCTGCCAAGCCCCACCCACCTCAGGGCCTTGCCACCTGCTATTCCCTTGGCCTAAAACAGCCTCCCCATGTGGGTACTCACAGGGCTCACTGCCTTGGGGTCTCCACTCAGATGTCACCCTCCTAGCCAAGTGGTGTGTTTTCCCTGCATCATCTCTGGCCTCTACCTCACTTTGTTTCTGGTAGCACTTGTTACCACCTGTTGGTAGGGCCAATGTCCACCTGCCTGATCCCTGCCCGTCTCTGCCCCATGACTGTGAGGTCTGTGAGGCGGGGGGCTCTGTTCCCCAGGGCAGCGTGTCATTCCTCAGCCTAGTGAGAGCTGAGAGCCTGTGTGATAACACCTTTGCCTTGCTGGGAACCCATTTCCGCTTCAGCCACCCTAGGGGCAAGCATGTAGATTTTTCAGTTCCAGTTTCAGTGTAGCTCAAGACCATGTCCTTTAGCTTCCTTTCACTTGTCCTCCCTGTCCCTATCCCCTCAGCTACTTCCAGGACCTGAGCCCCATGTGGCTCTCTGCATCCCTCTTTTTTTTTTTTTTCTCAATTAGCCAACATATGGCACATAGTTTCCCATGTAGTGTCCAGTGATTCATCAATTGCATATAATACCCAGTGTCATCACATCATGTGCCCTCCTTAATGCCCATCACCCAGTTATCCCATCACCCCACCCCACCCCTCCAGCCATCCTCAGTTTATTTCCCAGAGTTAAGAGTCTCTTATGGTTTGTCTACCTCTCTGATGACTTCCCATTCAGTTTTCCCTCCCTTACCTCATGATCCTCTGCACTGTTTCTTACAGTCCACGTATGAGTGAAACCATATGATAAGATTCTTTCTCTGATTGATTTATTTCATTCAACATAATTACCCTCCAATTCCATCCATGCCAATCAATGTAACTGGTAAGTATTCATCCTTTTGATGGCTGAGTAATATTCCATTATATATATAAGCCACATCCTCTTTACCCATTCACGAAGGACATCGTGGCTTCTTCCACAGTTTGGCTATTGTGGACATTGCTGCTATGAACATTGGGGTGCAGGTGCCCCTTCTGATCACTGCATTCGTTATCTTTAGGGTAAATCCCTAGTAGTGCAATTGTTGGGTTAGAGTGTAGCTCTATTTTTAACTTTTTTTGAAGAACCTCCACACTGTTTTCCAAAGTGGCTGTACCAGCTTGCATTCCTGCCAACAGCGTAAGAGGGCCCCCCCCCCTTTCTCTGCATCTTCGCCAACATCTGTTGTTGCCTGTCTTAATTTTAGCCATTCTGAATGGTGGTTTTGATCTCTATTTCCCTGACTTCTGTATCCCTTTTATCCAACTGAATTTCCATACCAATAAGGATCCCCACCCCCATCAGCCTGTTAAGCTGAGCTGCTTCTCACCTTCCTCCTTTCTGCTCTGTGTTTGGGTATTTGTTTTACCTTCTCATTCCATCCCTCCTTCCCCACTCCCTAACCCATTGCAGAGCCATGGAATCCCTGATAAGATGAAACAAGAAGACAGTAAAGCAGTAAAGACTGGGGTGAGAAGAATCCCAGGTCACTTTTCCAGCAGCTTCTTACCTTTCTGTGCCTAGGACCTGCGTTGGGGCAATGATCAGAGACAGTACATCAAAATCAGAAAATAGTCCACCAGCTGTTTCGCCCAGGCCAGACACCTGCAGGCACAGGAGGTTCCTTTGAGTGCCCTTGACCCTCCTGGGAAAGCAGCTTGGACTTGTCGTTGCCTTGGGGTAGGCCAGCCCTTGGGCTCCACTGGCCTTCATAAGCTTTCTTTAAAACCAGGATATGTCCATGAACAAATAAAATTCAGGGACTTCACGTAGATTTCAAATTCTAGCTTTTCTTGGGAAAAAATGACCACATGAAGAGTGTAGCCCTATATGGCAGGTGTTGGCTGGAGCTGGGCTGTGGCCTCTGGCCCAGGGCATTCAAATTCACAGTAACTTACTGGGTGCCTGGTAGAAATTGATACCCTCTCATTTTAGTTTTAGCTTTTTCATAAAAACCCATGGTCTCCCATCAGCCCCGTGCCCAGCTGTACTGGAAGCCAACTCAGGGGAGCTGCACTGTGGTTCCTTTCCTCTCGCTGCTAGAACTCTCCCTCAGATGCAGCATTCTAACACAACACAGCAGAAGGGACAAGTGGTAGGACAGAAGTCTCCAGTACTCAGGGTGGATGGTTTACTGAGGCCATGAGGATGCAAGGATGCTATTTTATATATCCCAAGAGGTAATACCTGTGAATTCCCAGTTTGTTAGAGACCAGCATCAATGTCGATCTTTGACCTTACTGCTAAATGATACAATCCAGTTGCTTCTGCCGAATTCACATCTCCGGGCGCAGACCTTCTTCTCCCAAACTCAGACCAGCGTGTGTATGTGTGACTCAGTGGCTCCACTTTGATGCCTGAATCACATCTTAGATCCAATCATCTGTCCTAACCGGAGCCCCCGCTCTCTGCTCCCAAAACTGCTCCATGCATAGCCCTTGCAACTCAACCCTTCCTCTCTCCCAGCCACATCCAAGTTGTTGGACACGCCATGAGCCCTGCCTTCTGTGCATATGCAGGATCTGACCACAGTCTGTGTCCCTTCTCCTCTGTTGCCGTGCCTCCCCTCGCTGCAGCCAGAAACTCCTAAAGACCTAGTCTCCCTGCTGTCACCTCCACCTCCCTTCAGTCTTTTCTCCACTCAGCATTGAAGTCAGGTCAAGTCCTCCCCTGCTCTAGAGCCCACAGTGGCTCCCCATTTCACTCAGAGTGATAGCTTTGCAGTGACCTCCAGGGCTCTGAGTGACCTGGCCCTCCCTGCCCCCACTCAGACCTCCCCAACCTGTTTCTCCTGCTGCCCGCTGCACCTTGCTGCTCCATTAACACACCCCACATGGGTCTCACCACACTGGTGCCTGGAGCACGGCACCACCCTGCAGCTCTACTCCATTCTGTCTTGCCTGTTTTTTCCATAACATTTTCGGACATCTAACACTCTATTTTGTTCACTATTCCCCTGGCTTATGGTCTTACTTTACAAAGGTGGGGTTCTCAATCTGTGTCGTCACTTCTGTATCATCAGTGCCAAGGACAGAGCCTGGCACAATGGTACTCAATAAATACTTGCCGAGGGGATGAATGTCAATAGGTGAAAGCTTCCTTAAGCATTCCAGTAGAGACATTTCAAGCAGTTCTATTTTAAAAGGGAGATTTTTTCCTCTAATATTGAAAGAATCCACACATAATTGAGAGGATGTTATAGTGACCCCCATGTGTCCCTTACCTGGCCTTGGCAGTCGTGAATTGATGATCAGTGTCATTTCATCTACATCCCCACCCACTGCCCAGATGATTAGGAAGCAAATTCAAGTCATCCTTTCATTGTATCTGTAGATAGTTTAGTATGCTCTTCTTTTTCTGCTGCAAGCCCTCTGCTGGGTGGGTAGACCGTAATTTATTATATTCAGCCAGTCTTACTGGGTGCTGTTTGCGTGTCATTTTATACTTTATAAAACCAATTGTCCTTTCCTTGGAACTTCTGGAATTGACTGCAGCTTTGCAACACTTCTTTCTAAAATTGAGATGTAAAGTCTTTGCAACTCTTGTTACCCTTGGAAAAACAAAACAAAATAAAGTAAAATGTTCCCCAATACCCATCTGTCTCCATGACAGCATATATTATTCCTTACAGGTACTTTGTTAGAGCGTTAATTGTTTACAACTGTTCATTTAGATGAGATTTCAAACTTAAAGTTGTAAGAAGAGTACAAATGACACTCCATATACATTTCCACCCAACTCACTGACTTAACATTTTGTCCCGGTTGATTGATTGAGGGATTTCTTTCTTTCCTTCTTTCTTTTTTTTTTTTTTAAAGTAAGCTCCAGGTCCAATGTGGGGCTTGAACTCATGACCCCAAGATCAAGAGTCACACTCTCAACCAACTGAGCCAGCCAGCTGCCCCTCATCCCTGCTGATTTATATTTGTATTCTGTGTGTGTGTGTGTGTGGATGTGTGTATATATATGTGTGTGTATTTTTTAATCATTTGAGATTAAGTTGCAGTCATCATTCCCCTTCACCCCTGAACTCTGCAGTGTGTATCCCCTAAGACTGGAGCATTCTTTTTACATTACCGCAGCACTCAGGAAATTCAGGAGAGTTAGCATTAATACAATACTATTATCTACACCACAAACTCTATTGGGATTTCTGCACTCGCTGCAGTAATGTCCTGCACACCAGTGCTTTCCAACCCAAGATCCAGTGCCAGGAACGCCACTGCATTCTTGTTGCCGTGTCTGCCCAGTCTCCTTTAATTTGGAATAGCTCGCCAGGCCTTTTTTCTTTGTCTTGCATGACCTTGACCTTTTTGGAGAGTACAGGCCAGTTGTTTTATAGAATGTTCCTCAATTTGGGTCTAATAGATTTGGAGAGGCACTCCGAAAACGAAAACGCAGTCTAAAGGAGCACCCCCCCACCCTGTTTCCCGCCCACAGGACCTGGGAGCCGGCGTGAGAGACCCCTATCAGCAACCCGAAAACCCGTGCAGGAGGCTGAGGACCGGGAGGAAGACGCCTCTGCGGTGCTCAGGGCCATCCAGGTGGAGAATGAAGCCCTGCAGAGGGCGCTCCTCAGCAGAAAGGCTGAGCCCCCCACCAGCCCACTGCAGGTGCGTCCAGGGGCGGAGGGGAAGGACCACACAGGAGGCTACTCAGGGACCCAGTGGTGTCTGAACAGCGCTTGCAAAGAGCTCTTGGTCAGGAGAGAGACATTGTAGAAATCCCTGACCTCAGACTGGCTGCACGTCTCCTGCTTGATGCACAGTTGCTCACCAACCTGCCAGAGCTCCCCGTTTCCTTCACCCTCTTCTTTGTTTGCTTCTGAAAGCCTAAGGTAGATGCCAGTTTGCCTCTAACCTTTGCTGATCTCCCTTCAGGCCCTGGATACCTTAGAGCAGGGTTGCAACTGGTGGGTCAGAGAAAGAATGGAGTAGACAACAGCCCTGGCTGCTCTGGAAAGACCTCATTTCCCAGAGCATAAGACCCTCAGGCCTCTGCAGCCCTTAGCACTCCCTGTCGTCCTACCCCTGCCCCACTGCACCTGTTCCAGAAACCTCCCTGGCCCAGCAGCATGTGTTTGAGTGTGTGCCCGCTGCTGTCAGCTTTGAGCAAGAAGCAGGAGGATATGTAGTGGGCTGGAGTAAGGACCCTTTAAGAGCTGGAGGCTTTAGACATGCCTCAGTATACATGTCCCTTCCCAGAAGCATGTTCCCTGGCTCATCTGTTGAAACCCTTTGTCTTAGCTTGTCCCATGGGATGCCCACAAGAAGTCAGAAGCAGGCAGGCCTGGTTTCATCGCCCCATTTCATAGATGTGACTGATGGCCCCCAGGGAGCAAGGCAGCTTGCCCAGGTCATGTCTTTGGAAGGCACTGAGGACTGCCTACCTGCAAGCCTTGGGCCCTGTCCATACCGCCTGTTGCTCCCCAGGCTCTAACACAGGCTGCCCTTTGGGGCATTCATCGAGCAGTACCTGTTGTCTGTCTTCCTGGAGCTCAGTGCTTTGCCCCCGACGTTTGTGTCTCTGGGATCTCAGGACAGTCCCCGCACCTCTGTACTCTCATCTGTCAGTGCAGAGTATACAATGGATGACTTTATTCTGACCTCAGATCATGTGATTATATCATTCCAGGACACAGAGGGACCACCAGCAAAATTGTGGACCAGTCTACTGAAGGGGAAGGAAGAGAGCCCTGAGGTTGGTGAGAGGAGCAACAAAGCCCTGTGCCCACTGCTCCGAGCAGTACCTGGGGACCTCCAGAGGGTTTTCCCAATGTGGTCCCAGCAGGCCCTCCCTGTGCTCCCTGAGCATGGTGTCATTTGGCCCATTTCACAGATGGGAAAGCTGGGCTGGAGTAGCTTGCCCCAGATTACAAGTGGAAACCAGAACTTACGCAGGCCTGGGGACTCCAATTCCTTGTTACATTTCTTTCTTTCTTTTTCTTTCTTTCTTTCTTTCTTTCTTTCTTTCTTTCTTTCTTTCTTTCTTTCTTTCTTCTTTCTTTCTTTCTCTTTCTTTCTTTCTTTCTTTCTTTTTTTAGATTTTATTTATTTATTTATGAGAGACACAAAGAGAGAGAGACAGAGACACAGGCAGAGGGAGAAGCAGGCTCCATGCAGGGAGCCTGATGTGGGACTCGACCCCCGGGATTCCAGGATCATGCCTCGGGCCAGAGGCAGGCACTAAACCGCTGAGCCACCCAGGTGTCCCTCTTGTTACATTTCTATTTCTTGACAAGACAACACAAAAATCGATCTTGGGTTCCTGAATAAGTAAATTATATCTGTATCTACCGAGGTCAGTCAGGCCAATCTCAGCAGAGACGGCCCCTGGCAAATTCCGACGTGAACTAATAAAACACCCAGCAACATCTTTGTTAGATTGTGCCCAGGTCTGTGCCATGTGCTCAGAATACAGAGGTGGCTAAATCAGATCAGATTAGCCCCTGGCCTCAGGGAGCTTACAGACAACAAGCAAATAAAGCCACAAATAAGCCAGGTGACTTCAGAGAGAGATGACAGTAAAAGATGATAGATGGTGGCTACTCTCTGAAACGGTAGCCCGAGGAAGCCCCTCAGAGGGCCCCACTTGAACTGAGTCCTGTCTCTTAAGGAACCAGCCAGAAACAGAACAGCATTCCAGGTGGAAGGGACAGCAGATGCTTTGAAGTGGGAATGAGGCCCTCCTGATCCAGGAACAAGAAGAAACCTGACATGGTGGGAATGCATAGCACCAGAGGGAAGGTGGTGGACAGTGGGGAAGAGAGAAGAGGAGGGGAGAGGAGGAGAGAGCACTCGAGGGAAGGAGTGCCACCTAGAGCACCATAGTGGGGTTTCCTTTATGTGTCCCCCCTCTTTGTTCTGTTCTTCCCTGGTGGTGTTGAGCTGTCGCCAGCTGACATTTCTGACCAGTCTGTGGCACTGCCCACTGCATGGTGCACGACTTCTGGATGACCTGACCTGACCCAGGACCCACAGAGCTTCCAGTGACTAAAATCACTTGCTGATGGAGAGCCGAACACGTTTCTAGTTGAGATGATAAATGTAAAAGAAGGAGGATTAAAAATGCAAAGGCCCTAAGGATGTTACTGGAATGCTTCCATGGAGCCTGGTTACTTTGAAGCACGCAGGGCAGGGGTGTGACGGAGGGGGGAGAGATTCTGATGAGAGGAAGTTTTTTCAATAGCTGATTGAAGAGATCTTTTCCTGGGACCTCCAGGATCATAAGAAACAGAAATCTCTGTCTCTGCAGAGATCATGGTGGGGGGCCTGGATCTCATGAGCCCCTGTAGACTCTGTCCCTCTCATACCTCATTCCTATTACCTCTTCCTGCTTGACCAGCAGCTTCCTACCCCCGCTGCTACCAGTGTGACCGGCCCAACCAGTGCGACCAGCCCAACCAGCACAACCAGCCCACAGGAGCCAGCCAGGGCGGCAGGGGGAGCCAGAGCCGTCAGCGAAGCCATTGACAGAATCGGTCTTTTGGGGAGCAGGTACTTACTGAGGCAGCTTCAAAACAAAACCAGAATCCTGTAGCAGTGAAGCCACGGGGATCTCATTAAGAGAGGTTTCTCTTTGCTTCTCCAGTGTTATTCCAGACCATGTAAAACTGCTCCCTTAGACCATCCCCCTTCCACCCCCCACCCTCCGAGGAGTGGACTTGATATCTTTCCAGCCAATGGGTCTTTGCAGGTTCGGTTCCGTTCCGTCTCCCCTGTATAAGGCTTCATCCTCCTCGGGGGCTTCCACCAAAGGACCCTGTGCAGCAGATAGTGGTGAACTCAATGGGGCCGGGGTAGAGGGCAAGAACGACCCTGAGCCATGTCCCTTCGGCCTTCTTTTTCCTGTTAAGTCTGTTGATATACAGCCTTTGTTTGGTTCCATTAATGCATCAGAGCAGCTATTGGAACTGTCAAATTTTCATTCCAAAACAGTGTCTTCCCTCTAGTCTTCAGAAAGATGCACCAGGTCTAGCTGGTTGTCTCAAGCATGTTCTGGCACATGGCCACACTCGCCAGGCCAGTCCATGGGGCTTCATGCACCATGCTGTCTGCAAAATGCCTGTGCCTGGCTTAGGGGTGAGAGGGCATGCTGGTCACTAAGCAGAGGCCCTGGGCTGGGTCTGGGGCAGCCCAAAGAGGGGTCAGTGTTGTGGGGGGAGCTTTTTCTCTGCACAAAAGAAGAATTTCCAGCCCAAGCTGTACACCCTCCACATGTGTGTCCGCCCCAGAGGAGTATCCTTGTAATCTGCAGAAAACCTCTGGAGAGGCAGTGCTAGCCATCTCTCTAAGAGCCTGCAGACCCCAGACTGGAAACCAGGGCTGTGTACCCATGCAGCCATGAGTAAGAACCCCCAGGTTCCTCTGCATGGGAAAGGGCCGGTGCTGGAGGATATTTTAGATCTGATACAGTTCTATTTACGGACAGCACACACGTCACCAGAGGCTTCTTGCTTCATCCTCAAGATCCTTGATGTTCCAGGGTCTTGAGGGTACTCCATCTTAAACAGCACATGTGGGGTGCATTTGCAAACCCTACCCTGCTGAGTCAGGAATGCCTACAGCCCCAGAAACAGGAAGCATGAAGTAGGTCTCTAGGCCAGGAGCAGCGGACGTTTTTTAGCAAAGGGCCAGATATGAAGACTTCAGACTTTTCACTGTTTGTTTTTTGTTTGTTTGTTTGTTTGTTTGTTTGAACAACCCTTCGAAAGGTAAAAGCGGTTCTTAGCTCCCAGGCCATGTAAAACCAGGCTGCAGGCCGTATCTGCGGCTCCCTGCTCTAGACCCTTCCGAGTTACCAGTCAGTTTAGGGAGATCTGATGGCCATCTAGCCCCAAACAATTTCCTCTCCTTGGCTCTTCTTTGATCACCAGTTGTACAGTTATCAGAAAGGATGGGGGGGAACAGCTTGTGTGCGCCTTTGAACTGTACGCGGGGTGGGAACTCGCTTCTCAAACGACCACTACTTCTGAGTTAGAAAAGTAAGCACTGTCGCCTTGATGGGCCTGCTCTCTGTTGTGTGCCATCTGCCTGTTACTGCCTGTCTGCTAAAACAAAATTACATTTCAGACAACAGCAGAGGCTTCTGAAAGTCCTCCAGGCCATCGAAAGTGACTCTGCCCGTCTCAGCAGGGTCGCTTCACCAACGGAGGAACCAATGCTAGACCCAGAGGTAAGAATGTTGACTTATAGGGATTTCTAGATGCATTCAGTGTCTCGCCTGAAAGCTGAGGGAGGAGAGGCCCCTTGGTGCAATCATCTCTGTGCGGTGGGGGTGGCCAACAGCAGTCAACTTAACATGTCTCTACAGGAGGCTCCATGCCCCCCCCGCACCCAGTACCCAGACAGGCAGGGGATGGAGCAAAGGGTTGCAGCAGAGAGAAGCCCGTCCACACAGTATACCATGTAAGCCCACAGGGGAATGTCCAACATCACTGATAACCAAGAAATGCAGATTAGAGCAACCTTAATGTCCTACTTGATATCTGAGTTCACGGATGATTTTTGATGATAACCTCTAGGACTGGCAAGGTCACAGCAGGCTTACTCTGCTGGCAGCACTATAAATGGGTGGAACCCTCTCAAAAAGCAGGAGGGCCGGGCTCAGGAAGAGCCTTAGAAATACTTAATGTCCTCCCAGCCCAGCGATCCCACTTCCTCACCCTAAGGAAATCACTCAACAGAAAGCAAAAGCTATAGGCATGAAGATGTCTGTTGCAGAATGGTTGGAAGTAGGGAAAAATGAGGGAGAAAAAAAAAAGAACAAGAAATAACAGAAATGTCTCATGATAACAGAGTTAATCACAGAGGCATGATATATCAGCACAATGCAGTGGTATAAAAGGAGGGGAATTATCATTATGGAGATTATGCAGAATGAAAATCGTGAGGATACACAGTTAACTGTAAAAGGTGAAATTAATCTTCATTGAGTCCAGTATGATAGTGTAACTGTGCAAAGCCACGGCCGTGTGATGTGTCAGCGCAGCAGAGCCGTGAACCAAAAGGCCACGGTGCCATCCAGGCAGAAGGGTAATGAGGACTTGCATTTCTTTTGTGTCAGAAGGTGTGTGTCCAGTACATCCTTCTCAGCCCTTCCTTTGTCCAAGGCGTTCACCATTCCTACTACTGGCCACTTAAACCCTCCCAGAGCCACACGTAAAACTCCCATGAGATCAGAAACCCCCACTCCTCCCTCCCCAAAGCACGCCAGCCTAGACCAGAGTTGTGTCTCTGAGTCTGGCACCATCATTTAGAGGGCATGTGACCTCAGAGAAGCCTCTTAAGCTCTCTGATCCTGGGAGTGTGCAGCTGTTGCATTGGGTAAAATAATCCACTGCCATGGGCTGCCGTGAGGATAAAACAAAAGGGTTTTGTGAGGGTGGGCACCTCAATGCCTGGCACAAGGCAAGGAGGAGCCAGCAAATACCAGTTGCAAGTTTAACATCTAGAAAATTCAAAGCTTTACCCCCTTCCATATCTCCTGCATGGAACATTTGCTTTCTAAGCCATGAAGACCCTAAGTGTGATAAAGCTTCACCCACATTAAAGAGAATCTGGATTGATCAATCTCCTTATAGCAAACAGAAAACCCAGGGCAAACTGACTTATCCAATGAAGGGAAGGAAATGATAGACTCTTGTAATAAATGCCACAGTGAGGACCAGGTGGGGCTTGATCCAGCAGCTCACACTAGATCTGCACAATGCCAGCTACATCCTTGAGTTCTGTCCCCACCTCAGCACCCAGGCCCGGTGCTGCCATCTCCCTGGGACCCTCAGTAGCCAGAGTGGTTCCCACCTCTTGCCTTCATCCCCTCAGGCCCTATAGTCAGAAGAGGAGAGCATTTCCTCCACGCACAGAACTGAGATTGGGTCACATGCCCATCGCTGAGCAACCCCCTTCTGGTGGTTCAGGGGACAGGCCACACTGATTTATTGGACCAGTCCTCCTCGAGGTGGGAAGGGTCTGTCCCCCTCTAGGACCATCCTCATGGCTGAGGAAGGAGAAGGGGTGACTTCCCGACAGGAAAACCGGATATTCTTGGTGAGAGATGGGGCAGTGAGAGCAGGAGATAAGGAGCTGCGTCCATCTTAGCCCCCCTGCTAGAGATCCCACATCAAGAAATTCAGAAGCAGGAGTAGCCATCTAATTGCAGCACCGACAAGTTGTGACACTTCCTTAGATAATAGACCTTCAGCTTCTTCATTTTGAAGCCCCGCTGCAGGACTTCACACGGTTTAGATAGCACCGAGCGAGCGCGAGCGTGAGATCCAGCAGCCCCTCTGTGAGGCGGCTTACCTCCCATCTGGACCTCCTCAGTGCTGCCAACAGCCAAGGTGAACAGCACCGCTCCTTCTCACTTCCTACCCAGCTCACCTTGGCAGCACAACACTCCGCAAGAGCCCCAGCTCATTCACCTCTCATACCCACCCCCCAACTTGAGAGAGGCCAACTTAAGTTTCAGTGAAGTTTCTCAGTGTCCTGCAAGCCTGGGACTCAGGCCCCGGGCAGCAGGGAGGGCCTGACCGGGACCCCACACAGCCCTGTGGGAGCAGAGGAGGAAGCTGCAGACTTGGCTGATAAAAGCAGGCCCTGTGTTCCTTCTGGGAGCTGGGAGCTGACCTCCCTCCCCGTCCCCATCCCCATCGCGTGGCAATCAAGGCGCGTCCAAACACACACTGCGAGCGATAGCACGTCTCGCTGGCTATTAATTAAAAAAATAAGTAGGGAACAGTTGCTGTTCATTTGCTCAACTCCCTGCTCACAGAACCGTTGCAGATTACCAGTGCTAATTAACAGAGGGCATGTGCACGCGGGGAATGCACCATTTTATGAATGACTGATCCGTGGCGACCAGTGCTGCAGTCGGGGCCCGAAGGGGCCTCAGGAAGCCATCCTGCAGCGTGGCTGTTTATTGATGGCATCCACACAGCCTCGGACCACACGGCCTCCCTGCAAAGGAGGCTGCACTCAAACCAGCGATGGAGAGAGACGGCTGCAAGTGGACCCTCAGAGAGTGCACAGGGGGGTCCAGACTCGGACAGGTTCTTCCCCAGTGTCTGTATCTCTCTTAGTCTCTGTGACAGGATTGTCAGAGATGTGGTGTCATCTCCCATCTCCAGCCAGGCTGAGGGACGTCAGGTGACTCGTCCATGGTCCTGCATTACGGACCGAATTCATTTGCTAGGGCAGCCATAGCCACACACTGCAGACAGAGTGGCCTAAGCAACAGAGTTGTGTTTTCTCACAGGTCTGTGGGCTCAAGTCCAAGATCAAAGTGTCGGCCCATGTGGTTTCTCCCGAGGCCTCTCCTGCCTTGCGGGTGGCTGTCTTCCGGCTGCGTCCTCGCACAGTCTTTTCTCTGTGTGTGTACCCCCGTGGTGTGTCTCAGGTGTAGCTTTCCCCTTCATGTAAGGACATGGGTCAGACTGGATTTGGGCCCACCCTCGCAGCCTCATGTTACCTTAATTACCCCTTTAAAGGCCCTGTCTCCAAATACAGTCACATTCTGAGGTCCTGGGGTTAGAATGTTAGCAGCTGAATTTTGGAGGGGCACAATTTAGTCTGTAACACCTTCCCCAGTTCAGCTGACAGGCCACGAACACTTGGTATGGAGGAGAGAAGAGCATATTCAGGAAGAATCTGATGCCTTTTAGACATTTTTTATTTGCAAACTCTTATGGAAAATACTAACTGCCGAGGGTTCACAGTGACAATTTTTTTTTAAGATTTTATTTATTTGAGAGAGAGAGCAAGAGAGTATGAGGGAGGTGGGGTGAGATAGAGGGAGAAGCAGATTCCCCACCGAGCAGAGAGACCAATGCAGGGCTCGATCCCAGGACCCTGAGATCATGACCTGAGCCAAAGGCACACTTAACAGACTGAGCCACCCAGGTGCCCTCAATAACTATGTTTTCAGTGCTTTACAAATAGCTCATTTAGTCTTGGTATTAACCATATGTAATGGGTGCTATTCTTACCCTCCTTATACAAAATGGGGAAACTGAGACCCTGAGTGGCTAAATGACTCTTTGCTTAGTGGTAAGCTGAATCCAGCCTGTCATGTTTGGATCCTTTGACACTCTTTTTCTCTTCATTAAGGACAAATCGAGAACAAAAGGTGGAGACATCAAAGATGCCGTCTATGTGACCATGGAAATCCTGTCCAACTGGGGCCACACATCCTGGGTGGGTCTCACAGAAGTTGAGTTCTTTGACCTGCACAACACAAAGCTTTATGTGTCGCCTCATGACGTGGATATCCGGAACACGGACACACCTGGGGACCTGGGCCACCTGGTCAATCGGAACTTAGCTGTAAGTGGAGGCAGTACTGGAGTGAGCCTTGGCCTTGTGTTTTGATGCATTTTCTCTGCCCTTGCTAGGGCTGCAATGCAGGTGTGGGTGATGCAGGTGCGGGGAGGGGAAGAAGAATAGAATCTTCAACTGTTGTTCATTTGGGCAAAGTGGGAGGAGCCTGAGGGAAAGGTCCAGGTGAGGGCCTTGAAGCTATCCCCCCACCTCATTGACGATCTCTGCTCCGTGGGTTTTTCTTGGGAGAGGGAGCAAAGAGGAGCCAAGTCACCCCCTTTCATCCACCCTGCAGTTTAGCACAGGCGCCACAAAACAGGGGACCCCTGGGCATCATTGAGGTCCTTGCCCTGATCTTATAGATAAACTAAGTCCTGGGAAGAATATTGATTGGTCAAGAGCACACCGCTGGAAGGTGGTGGGGCCACGTTGACATCCTGTAGCCTGGCCCAGGGTTCAGGCACACTCCCACTCAGGGCCCTGCTTCCCAGCAAACATCGAACATTCCTGTCCTTTAAGTATCTAATGGTCAAAAAGAAAGGAAGAAAGTAAAAGCATTGGCATTTTCTCCTCTCTCCACTGGCATGTTGGACATAGAGACTGGGAGCTCAGCTGAGGCGGGCCTCCCAGCCTTGTCATTACTATTCTGTGCTTCAGCCTCAATATTCATTCCCTCCAGGAGGGGCCTGAAAAACTGGGGACAAAATCTGCCCCTGGGCCATAGAGCCAAGTAGGCAAGGCACAGAGGCAATAGGAGGACATCCCTTGGGCCCTTTTTGGCACCTTTTAAATCTCCTGCCATGTAGCTGTATTATCAATTCCAACGAACAAGTTCAATTCGTTGGAATTGAACAAGTTATTAACTTTAAAAAAATAAGGATTGAAAAATGAAAACACCTACTACATGTTCAGCACTTGCCTAGTGTCAGGCACAGGGTGTCATACACATAATCTTATTTGTACTTAGCAGGACACAGGCTTGAGAAGCAGAAAGGCCTGGTTCAGAGCTTACCATCTACAGCTTCATCAGCATGGGCAGCTCACCTGACATCTACTTTAGTGTCTAAAGAGGCACAATAATTATACTTAACTTGCTACGATGTTGTGAGGATCAAACGTAACTATAAAAAGCTTAGCACTGTGCCAGCCTTTTCCAAAGGCCTCTAAAACATCAGTTCTTAGTGTATTTGTTGTTATTAGTAATAGCATTGATATCATTAGAAAGTAGATATTCCCATTTTAAGATGAAGAAACAAGAAAGGGGATCTTTGAAATCCTGATTTCTAGAGACCCACGTTCTGGTCTTGACTTTATAGCCTTTGGCAACTCACCTGCCTTCTCTGAGAATCAGTTTCTCTGCCCTCTGTAAGATAGAACTGGAGGGCAGGGATAATCCATAGGATTCTTATATGTTGGCAAAAGAAACTGGAGTCTGGCTCACTTTAACAAATTTCCAACAAAGAACTTTGTTGCAAGTCTTTGGGTAGCTGGTAGATTCACTGTCACCCAGGCCAGAAGAGGGCAGGCCCCACAGTCATATTGGGGTTCTAGGTAGCATCTAGGATGCATGAGCATCAAGAGTGTGGTCTTTTTTTTGGAAGCAGAGGGGTTGGCAGTATTTATAGTTGACTTGCCATCCTGTCGCTCTGCTAGAGATATGCAGTCCCAGGAGAGGAAAGCTGATGGCCAGCCTGGCTAGGAAGGTGGGCACAAATGCTAGTTACACCAGGATGCCACAGCAGGGAAGAGGGGCAGGAAGGAATTCCCCCTGGAGAAGTTCAGCGTTGTTACTGAAAGGAAGGCAGGGTAGGTGCTAGGTAGCTGAGAAATACCACTCATCCCCAGGGCTAGACTGAATGGTGACCCAGTCTAAGATTATCAGCTCGTGACTTTGAAAGAAACAGGTCCCATAGGTCAGGGCAGCTGGGATGCTCTGGCTTCACATTCCCTGCTCTGCTCCCTGCTTGGATTCTGTAGGCGCTCACGTGTGCTGCTGGGGCTTAGAGGGGCCCTTCGCCACCCCCTCCCGTCTCCCTGATGCGCAGAGCAGTGGCATTTGGGAAGCCCGCTGTACCAAACAGAGCACACCGGGGCAATAAAAAGCATCATTGGATTTGACGGGGGCCAGTTCTCATGACTTTTCCTTTTCCTCTGTTTAGCAGAGGCTGGTAAGCTTTGCCACGTGAAAACAGGAAGGAATTCAGCTCATGGTTTTGGGGGTGCTGAGGTTTTCAATTTGGTGGCCATCTTACCCTGGGCTGCCAAATCTCTGGGCCAAGCCATGTGCGGGCTGGATTCCCCCAGCCACCCTGGCACCAGGTCTACCTGATGGTCATCCTGGTATATAGGCCTGGGACTACCAGCATGTACTGCCTCTTGGGACCACCCAGTTTCACTGGGGTTTATTAAAGACCCACAGCCTGCAGGCCAGGGCCTCAGACATCCCTCATGTGATCTTCACGTGAACCTTGAGTTACTCTCCACATTTGATAAATGAGAAAACCAGGTCTCAGGGAGGACGAGTGACTTGCCCCAGGCCACACTGCCATGGCATGGGGAGCTTGGCTACAATCTGACCAATAGGTAACTGAAAGTGGAGCCTGGGTTCGAAAGAGAAGTGGCTTCAGTGGAAGATAACGGAGGGCTGCTGGAAGATGTGGGGGTACCCCATGCTTGGTGCACACCCTCCTACCCTCTGCACCTACACTGTCTCTCTTAATTGGCCTCACCCAGGCCCATGGCTTCAAAATGATTCCAAATGGATACACCAAGGCCCACCTGCTTCTCTGAGTCCCTGACTTGAGTGCCTGCCAACTTCCTGCTCAACATCTCTTCTTGGATGCCCACTGGACCTCTCAGACTTCAGAGACCTACGTCCTGAGTTTTCATTCCCCTGTCCCACCCACATCTCTCCCTCCTACAACATTCCTGTGCCCAGTAAATGGCATTGCTGCTTGCTCTGCTGCCAAGTCCACCTCTTAAGAGTTCCTTGACTGCCCCAGCCCCTTCCTGCCACCTTCCAGGATACCAGCAAGTCCTGCTGATTCTTCCTCCAAAATGGAGCCTGGGTCTCCATTCCTCTAGTGGCTCCCAAGTCTGATCAGTGTGTGGAGTTCCCTCTCGCTGGCACTATTAAGTGGCCTCCTGTCTCACTGTCTTCTCTTCTGGCTCCTTCCACTGCATTTTCTACTCCATCCAAAGTGATCTTTTACAAATGTCAGCTTGCACCCCTCCTATACTTAAAACCCTGGCCATGACTTCCCAGTACACTTGGAAATAAAGTCACATGCCTCCCATGGCCTGGGAAGCTGTCTGAGAATAGGCCTTGGGCTCCCTCCTGGCCTGCTTCTCATACCCCCTGCCTCATGCATGGGGCTCTAGTAGTCATGGGGCTTCCTTCTGTTCCTCTGACACTCCAAGTTCATGTCACCTGAGCCCTCCCAAGAATATCCCTCCTCCAGAATTTCATGTGGATACCTGCTTTTTCCTCATTTGGATTTCAGCTCAAATACCACTTTCCCAGCAAGCCCTTCCCAGACTACTTCCCAGTGTGGAGGAGTGCTGTCTCACGCCACCCCAGCAAATTCCATTTTCTTCAGGGTACTTCTCACATTAAGAAATTATCTTCTTGCTTGATTATTATCTCTCTCCCCTCCATTAAGCTACACGTTCTTGTCTGTCCTAGCCATACTATATCCCCAGCACATAAATGTACACAGTACATTTTTTTGTAGTTTTTATTTGGAAATAATCACAGAATCATAAGAAATTGTAAAAAATGTGTAGAGAAGAGAAAAATAACAGAGGGAAACCAGTGAAGCTAGAAGTTGGTTTTCTGAAAGGATCGACAAAGTTAACAAACCTTTAGCTAGGTTTGTTAGCTAAGTTTTACCAGGCAGAAAGGATTCAAGTTACTAAAATCAAGAATGAAAGAGGGGGGGACATTACTACCAACCTGACAGAGGAAAAAAAGATTACAGGAGAATATTCTGAACAATTTTATGCCAACAAATGAAGATATCCCAGATGACATGGACAATGTCCTAGAAAGACACAAATCACCGAAATCGACTCAAGAGGAAATAGAACATCTGGCTAGACCTATAGCAAGTAAAGAGACTGAATTAAAAAAAAAAATTCCCACGAAGAAAAGCAAAGGACCAGATGGCTTCGCTGGTGAATCATACTAAATATTTAAAGAATTAACACCAATCCTTCACAAATTTTTCTAAAATATAGAGAGGAGAGAACAATTCCAAACTCATTCTATGAGGCCAGTATTACCCTGACAACAAAACCAAAGACATCACAAGAAAACTATTGAACCAACATTCCTTATGAATATAGATGTAAAAATCCTCAACAAAACATTAGCAAACCAAAATCTACCAGTTTATAGAAAGATTTATGCATTGAAACCTAGTGGAGTTGACCTGGACAATGGCTTGTTGATCAATATACGAGAACCCATCAGTATAATACAACATATTAATACAATAGAGGGGAAAAATAACCATGTGACATCTTAATGGGTACAGGAAAAACATTTGAGAAAATTCAACACCCTTTTGTGTTGAAGACCATAAACCAAGAGTAGAAGGCAACATTCACCTAATAAAGGGCACCTATGAAAACCCACAGCTAACATCATCCTGGTTAAAAACCGAAAACTTTCACCCCAAGATCAGGAACAAGACAAGGATGACTGCTTTCACCACCTCTGCTCACATGGTACTGGAGATTCTGCTCAGGGCAGCTAGGCAAGAAAATGAAATAAGAGCTTGGAAAGGAAGAAATAAAACTATTTGGTGATACGATCTTATATATAGAAAACTCTAAAGAATCCACAAAAATTACTTAAAAAGCTAAAATCAAGTTCAAGTTTACAGGGTAAAAGACCAATATACAAAAAATCAGTTGTATTTCTATACTCCAGCAATGAACAATCTGCAAAGAAAATTAGGGGAAAATATCTATTTAAAATAGCATTAAAAAGAATAAGGTAC